ACGCTTTTTTCAACTCAGCATCCACAATTTCTTGATCGATCGCTGTAACCCAACCGATTTGATCTGGGGTTATTGCTTTGAAACAAAATTTTATAGCCCATAAAAATAGTAGCTACACAGGCCCCATTTATCTCTTCATGAGCCCAGATGTCACTTTGTTAAGTACTGCTGTCTAAGGTCTCTTGACAAGGTTACCATTCAACATGTTCATCTATTTATGTGTTCATCTCTTCCAGCATGCTCTAAATTACAGCATAGATAGTGATAGTGATGTATCCTTGAAGTAGAAGAAGGTGTGCTACTGTAATCCTGATACTTCACCTTTACTTACGTCACGTAGCCCTACTGTATTCTCCGAGAGAATGATGGTGAATTCAAACAACACTGTGAAGAAGGAATTTCCTTAAAGACTCACCGTTTCGCATGTAATTATGAATGAGCACGCACAGTTGAGTTCCCAGGAGAATAGAAATTTAAGGGGGAAATAGAAGAATGTTGTAAGATAAACGATGTAAGCAGTGAGCATAGGAAGCTGAAATTTGATTGATTAGCGATGATTTTTGCCGAAAATTCCTTTTAAGAGGCAGATAAGAAGAACAAGTCGAGTATTTTACTGAACTAATTCTTGCTCGACGCCAATCATTTTGGGACACCGTTACATAGCAAGAAAACGAAGTACCTCAGACTTGACGCTGACGACTTTAGCAGGGGCGTGTGCCCAAATCTTGAATGTTGCGTAGGGCAAAAATGTAGAAAGAAACATCAGCGACCAAACAAGCATCGTTGGTAGAAAATGTTTGAAATTCCATCCGATAAGCCAGAAATGATGGAATGGCCTGGAACAAAATTGCTACAGTAATGAGTACAGACAACTAATAGATGGGCCCCTAATCTTTAGAATTTCCGACGACGGCCAGCCTGATGCGAGAGCGTGTGCGGCGCCACAGGGCGCGGCCGCAGATGTAGGCTGAAGCAGGGTCAACCCTACGTTGGTACAAGTACCAACGGAGGGGGTCGTACTTGGCCGTACCCCTCCCCCCCTCCAGAAAAGGAATTAGTGGGAGTAATGAGTATAGTATAAATGTTGAAATGGAAGCTAGAAGCCACACACATATTAACCGTTGCACGAGTGACTAATACACCCTTACCGTCTCGACCGGCATTTTGAGGAAACAGTGGCGGTTGAGTTGCGTGGTTCAGAACCTTAATCCTCATATTCGAGACGATGATGGGGCGAGTGTCGAAAAGCGTAATATCAATCCACCTGGGGAGGGGGGTCGTAAAATTTTTTCAGAAAGTGACAACGATAGGACCGATCCTGGGCTGAAGTGAAGTTTGACTGAAAGAAATCAACTAGTAGTCTCTCACATGCCATGTGTGAAGATGTCATCAATCAGAGCTCTGAGGAAGAAAAGGATGAAGGTGCCGGCGAAAATGTTGTAGACCACGCTCATTTCCGTTTCACGGAAGAGGACACTAGAAGAAGTTGATTAGTTTCTGGTGAAAAATCCGTGAAGCTTTTCACAAAGGAGCCTGGAAGAGTAGGCTACATGGGATTTGTCAGCTCTTCAAGGCCCCTTTGTATGGTCTAAGAAATCTCACGTGAGAAGCGATTCCCTCGTTTTGAATTCCTTCAGTTTGAAGGCCATTTTGCGCGGATCCTTCACCGCCTTATGCTCCTTCACCGGCTCGTGACTCCCATTTGATAACGCAGATCCATTTCGGTTACGCAAGTCTGCGTCCATCGATGGAAGAACCTTAAAATGTTTCCTAACATCGTTATTTTAAGCGCATAATGTGCAGAGAACAAGTGAGGATTCAATAACTTTGGAATCGTCGGAATTTCTCAGAAATTATCTCTTTGAAAGCAGAATTAGAAATGTAACTCGGTCTTGGGTTACGAGTGGGGAGACTCGATCAGGGTCAAGCATTGCGCAGGAAGGAAATTGAAGTGAGCATGTCCTCAACTCCTGAACGAGGTTCCATGCGACCCCTTCTGATTCTTTCTTTGGTTTGGGCTCGTCCTAATCAACAGTCCGCTAGTCCATGGTGAATATCGCATAAAAGAAGTTCCCGGAGCAGGACAACTCACCTCTGAAGAAAGTCTCGGTGGGACCTCCCTTCCTGTATAATGATCAATGACCACTGATGACCGTGATTCACACTGTAGTAATCATAAGTACCTCCCATGATTCATATTTCCAAAAAACCCGTCAAGGAAAGAAGGTGATCTACGCCTAAGCCTGCGGCGGTCTAGGACAGCTTCTGAGGCCAAATTTGAGCCCAGTGGGAAGGGATGAAGCTGTAGAAAGGAAAGGCTCAAAGATTGGTCGTGTACTCAGAGCCTTTCTAGGAAACGGGTATGGTGCT